TTCAAACATTCAAGTCTACATAAAAATGAAATATAAATTAGAAGTAATAAAGATAAAATATTTTAAAGTATTGATAATACTTACCAACTATTTAATGTAATAATCAGTTGCTTGACTTTCCATACTAACTACTAAGAGACTATACAAGAAAAAATTGAAAAAAACACAACTAACAAACATAAATAAACTCTAAATTGTTCAACTAATAAAATTTCATAAGAAAAAAAATTATTAATTTATTTAAAAAAAATAAAAGAAATTGATTTATCAAATATAAAAAAAAAATTTCGGTCTTATTTGGTTCTTCGGTTCTGGGTCTAGAACCGAGAATCAAACCAAACCATTCGGTTCTCGATTCGGATACCCGTTCGGGTATTTCATTTTAAAAAACCCGCTCGGTTCGGTTCGGTTCGGATTCGGTTCGGTTCGGACATTTTGCCCAACCCTAAGTGTGGGTGTCAAACACAACATTCTCATCACAAATATCCCCATCGGATCACTTGTCTACGGTGTTCTCTCTTCTGTTGTTTACGATTCCAATGCCGTGTTTGGTTTAGGCCTAATGGCTGATTCAGTGGTATGCATGGGAAGAAAATGCTATGGCTTAACCTTTGTATTGTGGGGATGCATTTCTATCTTGGGATTAGCCTCAAGTTTGCTGCTATTCTTATGAACCAGGCCTGCTTATGACAGGTTTGAACAAAGCAAAAGATCAACAATATTGGATTATTAATGAAACTATCTTACAATGTAATGACAAAATAACTGAAATTCTTCCCTAATGAAATTGTAAGATGAAATTAGATATTTTTATTGTTTCCTGGCAAACATTCTCCTTTTAGCAGTATCAATTTTGTTGAAACTGCTAGTCTGATGAAAATTGCAGATAGATCTAGAATTCTAACGAATTAAGTCATGTTCTTAATCAATTTGGAGTCGGTTACATGAATCCTTAGTAACTGCAATTAGTGGTGTATTAGTTTTAATACTATCCACACTTTCTTCAAGCTTGGAGGGAGTAAGTGCCACCAACTCTTGTTTCTAGTGGTCGAACTTAGGGCCTGTTTCGTACAGATTCTCATTTTCTACAGTAAATCAATTCTCATTTTCAACCACACATTCTTCAATAAAATAATATTTTCTATCACATCAATACTTTTTTCTTCTTTTTCAACCACATATTTCCAATCATATCACTATTCAAATATCAATTCTTCTCCCAAAAATTCCTACCAAACACACTCTTACTAACTAATCTTATTTGTCTAACTTTTAGCACTTAGACGTTATGCTTATAGAACACACATGAAATAATTCCACTTCAACACATTTTATGTTAGTTGTGTCTTTTATTTTATTATCTTTTATGTTTTTTGTTACATTTTAAATTTGTTGGGATAATTATTTTGTGTTTAACGTAGTGCATTGCACCGGGTGGGGTGGGCACAGCATGTGTAGTTGGCACGTTTATTAAGCAATAGCCTATGCATGAGGCACGTGAAATATGAGTAGGTCAAAGCACAAAATTTGGCAGTGATTAAAGTTGGACCAACTCATATAGCATTTTTATACTTGTACATGCAAAAAGGTCATCTACTTGTATAGAGAGGATATTTAGGGGTTGTTTGAAAAAAAGTTTCTGATAAAAAAATTATCAAATTCTGATAGAAGTTGATAAAATTTGCGATTGGAAAATTGATAAAAGTTGTGCGTCCCATAAAATGTGATTAAAATTGAACTCGATCGTTGCAAATTTATTGAATAATATTCCGACGAATAACAAATTCTATATATACAAAATGATCTAACAAAAAAAAAATAAAAATAAAAATCTCAAACTTCTTTTGGGTACATACAATATTTTTCATTCTTGATACAAAGGAACAATCTTTCATAAGCCAAAGCCATCTTTCTTGCTGTAAACATAGAAGCTGCATATTCTCTACATGTTTTTCCTCTCAGCAATAGCCTATTTGAGCCTTCAGACACAACCAGTTCCAATGCCTCTGACAGTGATTCGACGTTAGGCGAAAACATGAAACCAAATTCATCCTTAACCACAATTGTCCCTTTAATGCTAGGAAATCTTGATGCCATAACTGGTTTTCCACTCATCATAGCCTCCATAAGTGTAAGATCAAGCCCTTGTGGCCTAAGCGTCGGATTAACAAAAATGTCGATTGCATTGTAGAAAGCACGCAATTCGGATGGACTCATCGATCCAAGAACAATGGATTGAGGCCCTAAATCTTTGTACCTTTGTTGCCATGGACCGGAACCTGCCACGATTAGGTAGACATTGGGGTATTTTAGCTTGAGTTTCGAAAAGGCCTCGTGTAAAAGGGAATGGCCTTTGTCCTTCACTAGTCTTCCTGCAACACCTAGAACTATACTAGCATTTTGGGGGATACCAATTTTGGATCTAAATTCTTGTCCCAATCTTAAATCTTCGCGAAAATCATTCTCATCGACTCCATTGATGATCACATGGACACGTCGATGGGGGATTTGGTAGACGTCTCTTAGCATTTCGCCACAACTGTCACTTATAGCCACATGATGTGCATAATTTCTAAAAAATCGAATTTCGTTTAAGACTTTTGGGATTACTCCTTGTAGGCCGTTGTTGAATGTAGGTGACAAGGGCTCATTAGGCCGGCGTGCCAAGTCTTGGTAGATACTCGATTGCACACTCTCTAGCGCGATCCCGTGCCAAGAAACCGCAAGGTTAGATAGATTTCGAGCCAACCAGAATGGGAGTGCAACGCTTTCTGAATGAATTACATCAAAAGGTTCGCGTTTGTTTTCTTCTTGAAATTGTTCCCATGCCTTGTTGTATCTCCATTTCCCAGGTTCTCCCTCATGCCAGTGTATAATAGGTGATGAGACATGACTTCTTTTAGTACGAATTTCTTCCTGAGATTTGGTATCATCAAGAGGGGGTGAAGTGAATACATGCACTTGATGTCCCCGTCGTGCTAGAGCGGTGTGCAGTGTATGCGCGTGGCGTTCCATGCCACCAGGGCTGGTGCTAGTAGGCCATTTCCTAGAGAAGGCTGCGATTTTTAGACTCCTTAACGTGGGCTCTTCATTGAAGAATTTAAGATGATTCCACGCGAATTCTGCATTCCGAAGATCTCCCGACCATGCCTTATTGTTAGACGAAAACGTCGTACAAACCGAAGTTGATGGGGTATGAAGGAAAAGTAGAGCTGGAATTGTGAACACAACAATGAAGAATAGGATAATGGCAAGGTTGGATTTAAGGTTGAATAATGGTTTCTTGGGCTTGTTGTTCATAGCCATACTTTCTTGGATGTTTGGTGAGTGCAAATTGGTTATTTTTGGAGTTTATTTCCAGTAGATGAAAAAGAAAAAAGAAAGATCATAGTTGAAAAGTTAAGGGAAGTGTAAGGCTTTTTTCGTGGGGAAGTTAGGCACACATTTAAGCAAAGTGTTTAGGCAGGAAAATTGGATTTGAGTGCATATTTTCTGCTTCTTATGTGAAAAAGTGCAGCCCCCACACAATTTGACTTGCTCATATTCTTAGAAACTCAAAAATTATATTTAGTCCCTAGATATAGTTAAAAATCATATTTTTAGTTCTTTCTGACGAAAGTGATTAAAAAATCGATAAAAGTTGTTGGTCCTATAAAATATGTGATTGAAAATGACTTTAAAAAAACGAATTTTTAAAAATGGGACAGTATACTTTTATTTTTTATTTTTATTTTTATTTTTGCCATGTAAACTTGGCTGTATTTAAAAAGGAGATCTTTTACATATTTTGGGACAATTGAGTAGATAAAGAAAATTCCTATGGTCAATATTTTGGCTTTTTAGGTGAAATTCCAATATTTAGTTGACAACTAAAGCTACAAGGCTTGATTAAGATTGACTCATTACTTTAAAAACTTCCAGAAAGTCAAATCATTATTGTTGTCAAAGTTGACGCAAAGTTGCCACTAACTGTTTAGGCAGGTTTTAAGAATTTTGTGATGCAAGTAATTGATTTTAAGGCAATGTTGTTTTAATTCTGCCATTGTTCACCATAACGGAATTGATGATCAAAAGTTTCATTGGTTGTAGAGCGATCGACGGTTAATTGATTATCATAGATTTGAATCATATTTTAACGTACATATCTAGACCCATGTTCCGTGTAAATTTGTAGGGGTAGACCTTTATCTAACCATAAAGTCCCCTTCTAAGCAAGCCTATTGGCTCTTAGGCTTGTTGGTTCATCTTGGCCTCTTGCTCATAATTAGTAGCGGAGGGAGGTGGGGATCAATGGGGTCCTTGATCCCACTGAAATTTGAGGGAAAAAAAGTTATTTAATTTTAAAATTTTTAATTTTTCATAGTATATGATTTTGTATTAAAAAAAGATTCAATAGTTAAATTAAGCTCAACTTAAATCTGAATCCTAGTTCCGTCACCGATAACAACTCCTATTGTGGAGTGTCATTTGACTTGATAATTATAGTCCTATTGCGCTGAAGTTGGGGCCCAAGAATTTTAGACCCGACGAAGTAAAAAGGGTTGTGTAGACATAGTCTATCTCCAAACAAGATCTTGTCAATCTAGTACTCATTTCGAATCATCTCAAAATCAAATCATGCCAATACGTTACAGTACGTTTTACACCTCCAATTGTACATTACTACCATGACTCGGTTTACATCACATATTAATATTATTACAGGTATCATTAGGACTAGCAGCAACAACAGCATTCTTACACACAAATCCACTCTCCTTTCTCTCTTTGGCATAATGGGCAGCATTATTTCGGCCCGATTTAGGTGATGCGGGCCACTAGCCCGAAGTAACAACCATATCCCTCAAATGCTGCAGGCTTTCAAGTCTCAATAATTGCTGGCATTTTGGGCTTGTCTCTTGGTTGTAGACTCACACATTGTAATGCCAACAGGGCCATTTCCTTGGCACCCTTTATAGAATACTGACCGTCAAGTCTCGGGTCCACTATATACGACGGCCTTCAAGTGCTGGTCAAGTAGGGTTTGGCCCAATCCACCAGGTATGCTCATTTTTGGGCCTTGTTTTATCCATTGCTCTTCTTCCTGTCACTAGTTCGAGGAGAACGACTCCGAAACTATACATGTAACTCTTCGTGGTAAGATGACCTGCGTTATATGACAAAATAGCTTTAACCAATTGACAGGAGTCAGGAATTATTTTAAATTTTATACACACTAGTTCAATTCAATATTGTAAAAGAATTACTTTTTATAATTTCAAATTGCAAGTGAACGAATTCTCTAGATTTCGGACTTAGTCGAGGTTGGATGTCCAAAGGCCGAATCGACACACTTTTATCTAACTTAATTCTTACCAGTGTTTACAAGCCCAGGAGCTGCATATCCATACATTCCCATCACTCGAGTAGTCACATGGGTGTTTGATCCTTCAGGCCACATTTTTGCAAGTCTGAAATATGATAATTTAGCATTGAACAAAAACATAATATTTTATTTTTAAACCCTAATTTCTAATTTGTCTCATTCTTATCCAATAAACATCTTTGTAAAGTACATCATAATTACGTACAGAATCTAGTAATATATTTGAGGTTTTAAAATTGTTGATGTGTAATGTGTTTAGAAAGTCAAAGAAATATTCTTTATTTTGTCTAATCCAAGGGCTGTAAAAT